GAAGGTGATATGTTAATTAGTGTTAATTATGGGTGAAATCCTGGCCCCACTGAAGTCAATGGCAGAACTCTGACGGACTGTAATACTGCCAAGAGTTTACCTCATCACCAAGCCCCATGTCCGGGATTTGATTTAGAACGTGCTAAGAAAGTTACACTCTCTAACCGGACTTGCTGCCGTCTGGCCCACGCGTTCTCCTCTCTGCAGTTCAGACGGTGCAGACAGGGGTGGGCCATTTCACTTCGAGCCCATTTTCAAGGTGGGTTCTCCTGCGTGAACAGGAAGCAGCAAGGGGTCAATGGCAGTCTGCATGAAGAACCCCTAAGATCTATGTCTAGCTTGGTGGGGCCGCATCCCTGGCAGCGACATCGGGGCCCATGAAAGGCGCCACTGGCAGCACTGAAGGTGAGAACCCGATTCTCCCCCACTAGAGTCACCGTTTGTGCCTGTGTGCAGCGACGGTCACACACCACCCACTGTGCGCTCCCTTTGCCCAGCAGTGGGCGTCTGATCCAACCCCAGGGAAGTCAATGGAGTGGCCACTGGACCAGTCCCCAAGGCAGTGGGAATCTCTCAGTTCGCCCCCGTGGGCCTGCCGGTTCCTCGCACGGCCCTCCCATAAGCCTTGCCCCTTATTCTGGTGGGAAAGAGAAGTCGGGGTGCCAAAGCCTAGTCTCGGAACTGCTCTCTTTAAAGCACTGCCGAGCTCCCGCAGCCCCAACCACAGTCGCTGGGAGCAGGTGCGCTCAGCACCTCTGAAAGCAGCCACTCGTGGTCTAGATTGGGCAGCCGAAGTCTCAGCCCATTGCTGGAAAGTTGGGCACCAACTCTGCCCATTCAGAACCTGCACCTTCTGGGACTGATTTCAGCAAAGGGGCCACGGCTATGGAGGTTCTTGGCATGGCTGGGTAGAGCCACAGCGAAAGCACCACCTCACGTGACACGGAAAGTCCCGCTAGCCCACCGGATGGCAAGGACCTGCCTGAGTTCAGACTGAAATGAAGAAGAAGAAGAAGAATAAACAGGTAGGAATATTAATGGGCTGAATTCAATGCAGTTTCTTTTCTTCATATTAATACCCAGCTTCAGCACTTCATTCTGCTTTTGGTTCCTATCTACCCTTTTGCCCCAGAGGTATTTGATAATCATTTATTTTCATTTTAATACGCTGCAAACTAGGGCAAATGCTGCACAATGTGGAAAAATCCTTCAGCAGCAGCAGATAGTCCAAGTTCTACAACCACAACCATCAGCTGCATCACAACGGTGCGGAGTTCAATCACTTTTACCCTACTGCTTTATGCATCGGAGAGTAACAGTGCCCAAGGGCAAGAACACAGGGAAGAGAGAAGAGTGGGTCTCCCAGCCAAACATATACTTACAGGGCATGGGTCTCCTTGCCCGTACACCACGGGGTTAAAGTGGTGCCTTGTGGCATTGAAATGATGCCCTAGACTGTGGTCCCCAAACTGTAGGGCACACCCTCCTGGGACGGCACGGAGGAATGTTGGAGGGGCGCACGGCAGGGGCTGGGCCAGCCCCCATGTGGGGCAAGGAGGGAGCCCCCACCTGCCCCGCTTTGACCCCAGCTGCAGCTCCACTCTGCCCCCTGGCTCCACCCTCATTCCCTCTCCATCTCTAGCCCCAGCTCCTCCCTCCCCCCCCAGCTCTGCCATCAGCCCAAGCTCCTTTGCTGAGCCAACTGTGCAGTAATTGGGGGGGGGGGGCCATGCACAGGCAGATTCCATTACTGGTAAGGGGGTGGGGGAGCACACCATGAAAAGTTTGGGCACCACTACCCTAGACCTTGTGCTGTACCCTCTGCAGGGGGGGCGGGAATTACTGAAGGTAACCGGCAAGGCAGAATATTGAATAGGGCTGAGATGCCTGGCAGAATGTGGACTAAATAGAATATGGCATAATAATTATTTTCACTGCACGCTGCTGACAAGCCAGCCTTACAAAACCTACGAAACCCGAATGCAAGTTGCTTTCCAAGAGAATAATAGCTTCAATTGTTAGCTGTTCATGAAAAGCTCAATCCATGCGGACAAAGAGGAAATCTCCACAATTAGAGGAAGAAAAGGGAGAGGTTTCTAATTTTTTAAAATAAACTTTTAATGGGCTTTACAGGCATGATTGCTACTTGTTCTCTCAGCCATAAGCAATATCACAAACTGCAACAGACCACATTTTCACTGTACGTTACAAAGGGGTTTCTTTTTTTTAAAACTGGAAAAATATCATACAATCACTTAAATAAACAAAGACAACATTACAGTGCAAACAAACTCCTGGTTTTATTTATGCTGCAGTTACTGAGCAATTTATTTTTTCCAAAGTCTTTTTTGTTTTGTTTTTCCCGTTAGAAAACATTGGTTGGAGAGATGATTTCCTTTCCCAAACTCAGGGCTTGTCTACACCTAGATGCTCCAGGAGCATTTCAGTGCAGCAATACCTATGCCAACAGGAAGGGCTCTCCCAGCAGTGTAGGTGACCCACCTCTCAGAGCTGGCAGCTAGGTCAACCTAGCACTGCCCCCATGGGGACTCGGTCAGCCTAACCATGCCACTCTGGGGGGTGGATTATTCACACCCCTGACTGACGTCGTTAAACTGACCTAATTTTCTAAGGTAGCCCAGGCCTCAGTTTGTTTCTCAGAGTTGTACTACGGGCTATACACATGGCTGTAGGGGTTTGATCTGACTGCATTAATAGTGTCGGGCCTGATCCACAGTTCATGGAAATCACTCCCACCCACGTCAATGGCATTTGGATCTGGCCCTTGTACAAAACCCTACTTGACAATTCCTCCCCCTCCACCTCCCCAGCTCATAAAAGCCTGGCTAGGCTCTCCCTTAACTGACTCCTGTTCTTTGCACTTCATCGTGGTGAAGACGTGGGGATCTAAAATGATTATTCCACTGCAAAACCACGGAGAGACAAGTTACAGAATAAAAACAAAACGGACTTGAACATGCGAAACAGGGAAAAGGGCAGCTTGGAAGTTTGGATCGCCAGGGAAGGCTAGGCTAAGGTTATGCCTTGGGGCAGCCCCAAGCCAGGCGTGGTATGTAAGCAGCCCCACCCTGGTGGCAGGGGGACTCGGACACACCCTTCCCAGGGTTCCTCCTTGCTCTGGACAGGGAGGGGAGTTGGGCTACATGGGTCCCAGCGAATTCCTAAATTACAATCTCTCTCCACTCCCACCTGCCCCAATGTTAAACCGAAAGTGGCTCCCACGTCCCCATAGCTGAGAAGTAACATCTGGGAGATCACTGCCTGCCTGTGTCCTGGGGGAGTCACGGAGGAGCAGACAAACAAGGAACCTGTAGGGTAAGTTCAGCCATTTGTAAAGACCATCACACAACCCCCACTTCAAGGGTAAGGAAACCACAGCCACGCTCCTGCAATGCAGATTCAGCCGGAGCGTTCATGAGCTGACCACGGTATTACACAGAGCTCTCCTTGGTATTAACAACCAGCTCACAAACTTGTTCTAACTAATGCTGGAATTCTCTATACCCAATTCACATCTGGAACAGATAGGGTTAAAAAAAAAAAAAAAAAAACAACCACCAGGCCGCGAAATGCTTACTATCAATCTGGAAACATCATTATGGAACATCCTGGAGGTTCTTTTCACATTATACAGTACAATGAAGCAGTATTTTACAGGCATTAGAGTAATGATTATTCCATTACACTTCTCAATCAGCACTTATTTCAAAGCATGTATGAGGGGGAGAGAGTTGGAGAGAAAGGTGAATTAAATAACAGACATTTTCACAGCCTTATTGCAGTCTGTAAAGTCTGTAAACTGCAAGTAACCAAATCTCTGCTCCAGTCACTGACGTATAAATACACAGTGTTCTAGACAGCAAGGTGATGACAGACCCGGATCGGGACTACCTGGCTACTGGATTTCACCAGTTCCAGCATTCACGTGCAAACACAGTTTGTCAGTTATCCTATTCAGCAGGCATACAAAGAGCGTGCCAGCCATCTCTTGAGTTGGGGAGGCCGCTGCATTTGTACTGTGGAGGTAGTACAGCTTCTCCAGCTGACAGTAATGAGATACAGCTACACACAGATCGGCTATGACAGAGTTGCTTGTGATGGCAGAGGTCAGGGCCCAACAGCCCTTGGGCTCACTTCTACCTTATGTCCCTAAAGCTCATGCTTCAGGGCTTCAGCTGGCCATCTGCAGCAGTCAGGAAGGGATCTCCTTCCTCTGAAGCATCAGGGATGGCCATGGCTGGAGATGGGACGTTGGGCGGGGTGGACCAGGCTTGGAGGTGGCATCGAGCAGTCTCTCTCTCAGGAGCCCAGCTGGCTGGTTCTTGCCCATGTGCTCAGGGTCTAACTGATTGCCATGTGGGGGCTCGGGCAGGAATTTCCCCCAGGTCAGATTGTCCGTGACCTTGGGGGGGTTTCACCTTCCTCTGCAGCGTGTGGGTGGGGGTCACTTGCCAGGCTTGTTTGGGTCTCTCTCACTTAATTATTTCCCTGCCATTACATGAGCCTCAGGAACTGGTGCCCCTTGGTCCCTCCTGCTCTGTGCCTGCAGCACGTGATAGTCTCGTTTCCGGGGGGCTGTAAGACCCTGGTCTCATTTCCATCTCTGGGTTTAGTGTGTGGCTGGCCTGTGATGTGCAGGAACTCAGACGGGATGATCTGGTGGTCGCTTCTGGCCCTAAATTCCAGTATCCTAAACTCTGGATATTCTGTTGGGGGAGGAAATGCCAGTGACCGTAGTAGTTCCATATGCAGGAGCACCAGGCTCTTCGCATGCAAGTTTCAAGAATTCCCCGTAACACGCAGTGCCACAGAGCCATGTTTTCCTACACACTGTACGTCTCTCTTGGAGAGCTGGAAAACCCATCCATCACATGCTCTTCCATGCCAGAGGTGGAAAGCATCTTGGATGCCGTTGGTCAGTTGCCCCAGTGGGACTATTATTTGCCCAGATAAAATGAGCACAAGAAGTGTGGCCTCTGCCTGCCTTTTGAGGTCTGAAACCCAGCCTGTTGTCACATTCAGATGACGTACTGCCACTGCTGACATATCAGCGCCCGCTGCACTGGCACAGCGGACAATGAGAATCAACTGCCTGCCTTGATCTAGGAATGACACTTGCAAAATGAACGCAGTAACCCTCCGAGATTTATTAATGTACCAAAAAATGATAAAAATATATATATTAAACCACTATTTTAATTACATACCCTATTCATAAATAATCAAACACATGTTGCTATTGTAAAATTACTCATTAAGATCTCCTAGTCACACTGTGCGAAACAAAAGACTCTTGTGTTTGGATCATCCTGACAAACTGTGCGTGAAGAGACACACTAACACGGGGTGAGTGGGCAGAGCTGCGAGGACTCGCACGTTAAGCCGATCATGTGCCGATTTCTCCTTGAGCCCTGAAAGAATCTGCATCCATTTCAGTGTCTGTTAGGACAGCATGTCACCGGTGGAAGATTTTTTGATCTTTCATTCTCCTGACTTAATACCTGTGTATGAACAAATATCCTTGGAGTTTCCTGACTGAAGGAAGATGTTGGCTTTATTTACCCTTGACGGCAGTTCTTTGGATTTGGAAACATTTTTTCATTCACAGAAACATCCCCCAGGAAGGTTCTCTGTTCTCATCACATGGAAACAGAAACACAGTAGTGCAAGAGTACCATACACACAGGACTGTCTAACAGTTTTCAGACAGCCAGCACACATCAGAAATGAAAGGCAGGACATCTCCATTTCAACCTCGAGTTTCTGAGTTCTGGTCATCGATGCAGCATGAATTCCTGCTTCCTTGCTTGCCCGTCCCCTCCCATCCACAGGAAGGAGTGAGAGTGGAGTGTTATAGGGTCCGGACAGCTACAGGGTAAAGCAGGGACAAGTGTTCTGCGCCCTTGATGGGCAGTTTTTTGGTGGTATAGTAGTGGATGACTTCTGGGACGCTGTCAAACGGGGGGCTGTTCTGACCCAGGATGTATTTCTCTTTGGTTTTTGTCAGTTTCATGTGCATAAAACCTTGACTGCTCCTGTGAAGGAAGCAAAGGAGAGGGTGTTAGTACCTGCACAACCCCCCGGACACAGTTAAGCGTTCAGCATCAAAATGCAGCTCCTCTTTGGTGGCCACATGCCACTGCTGCGTAAGAACCGCGCGACGGTCCACCAGCACAGAACGCTCAGACCAGACTTTTGTCTGCAGCGTGCGAGGTCTTCCCTGCATCAGCACAGACAGCCGGTCCATGCCAACGGGGAGCCCTGGCTCTGTGCGGACGCTAGCCCCCATGGAGCAGTGCCCGGCAGGCCCCAGAGAGAACGGGCCCTTTCAATGGCTTTGAGCCTTCGTTCCCAGAAACTTCTGGGGTTTCAGCCCTTTCCTTCCCCAGGGCGCTGGTCTGGTCCGGAGCTGCACTAGGGGCGGGGCAGCCTGAGAACGGCTGGTGGCCCCTTCCAGGACAGCTAAGCATCGCCAGCTCCCTGCTGCGGCTAGCTAGGGACTCGGGCCGGGAAAAGCCAAGGGCCCGGGCCTGGAGATGTGACACATTTCAGCCTTTTAAATGAACGCGAGGCCCTGCTCTGTCAGCCCCTGCAAGAGGCTGAACTCTCCCAGAGTGGCCTGGGGGTCTCAGGTGCTGCAGAGGAGTCAGGCTGCAGCTTTCCGGCTCCTAACCCCAGGCAGCCCCCACCCCCACCAGCAGGTAACAGGCACCTGTGCAAAAACCCCTTCCAAGAGGGATCCAGCAACATCCTTCGAATCAGCAGGTGGCTGGATTCCTGCTGCCGAGGGCCCCGAGCCCCGCAGAGTCCAACCCTCAGAGCACCGGCACAGGGACTTCTGCAGAAGGAGCAAGCCCCTCTTCTCCCGAGCCCGGCCGAACCCTCCCAGCACAGCAGGGCCCCGCCTTTCCCTGGGGCTTGACAAGGACAGAGGCATGTTACGGGCTGGATCGGGGCTTTCTGGCCACAGCCCTGCGCAGGGGGTGGCGTGGGGCCGCCCTGCCCCACCAGGTGACTGTGTCTCCGGCAGCGAATGCGGTGATGGGAGTAGAACAAGGAGCCAGAATTCTGCCAGTGCAGCTCCTTGGGCATGGTTGGGGGATGGGAACAGCACCCCCACTCGTGTGCCAGCCAGGCTGGGGTGGTGCCAGCATGGCCCTGCCTCTCCTGGCCCTCTCGTCACTGCTGGCTCCTGGGAGGGGCTAGCGAGCAGGAGTGAGTTCTGGTGAGATGCCCACATGGCAGCACTGCAAGGGAAGGGGGCTTCTCGCGTGCCCCCGCACTCCTGCCCAAAGCCATCTTGGCACCCGGCCCTGAGCGAGCCCAAGGACTGCAGGGATTTGCTTTGAAGGTGCCGTATAAAGTGTTTTCTGGCCCTGGCTCCCTGCTCGGGTGCCCAGTTGTATCGATTAGCCTTAATTCCCCCTTCCTGAAGGGTTGGGCACAGTGGGGAGGAGGAATCGAACTGCAATGCCCCCTCTGGCCAGTAGCGAGGGGGGCACATCTCAGAGCTGCCCTGGCACTAGTCTGCCTGGCGCATTGTCCCAGAAGGGCAGGAGTTGTCTAACTGCACCGGATACAGTGGCGGTATGTAGCGAGCAGCGCCCCTCGTTTCCACGGGCATCAAACGACAGGCAAATGCAATGACGCGTAGGCTGTCCATGCCAGAGGCAAGTCAGTTACACGGCAACTGTGCGAGCTACTAAGCATCAAGAGCAGCCTCCAATCCACCCGCCTGGCCATGGGTGTGGAGCAGAACTGCAGCGCTGGGGACAGAAAACCTGGAGAAGTCACCCCTGTTCTGCTTTGCTGCCCGGGCGGGGCAGGGACACAGGCCTCAGCACCCGGCACACAGGGCAGCAGCTGCCAACACCACCCGTGGGCTCCAGTACTGGGAACACCGCACTGCACACGCCCACTCAGCGCAGCTTGTATCCCTGCGGGGACGACACAAAACCAACAGGCACTGGCTGCTGGACGTGGTGCAAAAGGAAACAAGTTGTAGCATGGCTAGCACTGCTTCCTTAGGTCCATCTTTCCGCCGCGGTTTCCACCAGGATGCAGCATTACTTTATGAATAGGATCAACATTTAATTTTTAGCCCCAAAAACCCCAAGTCACCCTTCTGTGAAAACGGTGTTTGGAAAAGCTCCCTCTTTCCATGTGCTAGAAACAACATCTCCTAGGGAAGAGACAAAAGCTCGGCTTTTCCAGATTTGTTGATGAAATGACCCTTCTCTGCTGAGCAGAAATCACCACAGGCCCTGTAATTACAGCTCTGCAAGCTTAAAATCTTGATTTCAATTTTTTTACAGGAATGATTCTCTTTTGAAAGCTCTCTAAATGATTTCCTGCAAGCCAAGGGTGACATCTCTAAATACGTTCTTATGAGGAGATATATTGTCCCCTTCCCTTCAGCTTATTGTCTGTTTCCTTTGCTGGTAAATGGCTTACGAGTCTGCCATTAAATTAGCAGGATCAGAGAAATAGGTGCATATGAATTTAAAGAATCTGGCCCGAACTGAGGCTGTTAAATGTCTTCAGGTCTATTGCTCAGGCAATAGGAGTGGAGTCATGTGCTACTTTTGAAAGAGGAGTTAACATTCTTCATGTTCCCAGCAGAATGCTAAATACTATCAAGTCACCCCAGAACAGTTAGTGTTCTCAAAGCAACCAGCCGCCCCCATTCACAAGACAATTCGCTTCTGCACTAGGACAGCACATTACCGCATTTTCAAAACCCCAGACCGGAACACTTCTGGCGGACGTGTCTGAGGTTAGCAGGGTACTCCTGTTCTCTTTCCCAGCGTGCTGGTGTCTGCAGCGGGCACCTGGCTCACAGCGACGTGGCTGGACTGCTCGGAGCGAAGGGTTTATCCAGTCCCTTAGCGGCTGCATGAGTCGATGGGGACGCACTGAACGAGCGTCCTGAACATTCGCTCAGAGCAAAGGAACAGCCTGACAGCCACACTCCTTTCCCCTCCACGCCCTGCCCAGCGCACCCAGCGCTCACTCCATGGGCAAGTGCTATGCCACACAGCAATGCACAGGGGATAAGGCAGATAAAGAGGTGGAGATCTCGCCACACCCACCCCACGGGAGAGGGAGCAGTGGGGAAGCGCTGTCCTCTCTCCCCATTTTCTTGGCATTTCCTCTCGAATGACCACTGTCATTCTAACCGACCCAACGCTACGACTGGTGAAACAAAGCCAGGTCCTTTCAGAGCACCCCAGAGATGTGAGACGCTGAGGCTGCACTGAACAAGCCGGCTAGGTCAGATCTCAGGGGGCAATTCACTGCCCGGCTCCAAGCACCCAGCCACGCATTCGGTGTGATGGAGCCTGCTCCGCCCACCACAGCCTGTTCTCCGGTGCGCGCACACTCTTCTCCGTGTCCTGCTCCAGCAGCACGAGCCTGCCCGAGCCAGTTCAGCCCAGGGGCCAGAAAGTCCCAAGGGGAGCGTAATGAAACCAAGGAGCTCAATGGAGCTGGCTAATTAGCAGCACTAGCCTCCATTAAAACGGAACCTGCACACTCCCCTCAGCGGCGCCGCACCCAGCGATGGGAAGGCAATGGCCCTGCAGATCCATCCAGGGCGGGTGATGCTGCGCTGGGGGCAGCGCGGGGACCTCTGCAGGTCGAGGGGCTGGTGTCCCTGGCGGACTGGAGATGGGGGTTATGCCATTGGATACTGTGGCAGGAGCAGAGCTGGGAAAGCCTTAAAAGCCAGAACAAAGACTGGGTGAGGCAGTGAGTTAATGGAGGGCTTCGAAGAGGAGCTGATGTGGTCAGAGCACCCCTAAGAGCGGCACTTAAAGTGGAGCGGAGAGGGGGGCCTGCCATGGCAGAGGGGGCATGAACCGGCCAGCAGTAAATCCAAGCTAGAAATGAGAAGAAGGTGTCTAACCACCAGAGCGGCGAAGCTCCGGAAGGGTGAGGGGCAGACAACCTGCCTAGCTTTGAGGTAGAGCTGGATACGTTTGTTGTGGGGATTATAGGAGGGGCTGCCTGCGATAGCAGGGATTGGACCCGATGACCCAGGAGATCTTGTCCTATGTCCCTACGGAGTCGGTGGGAGATGGGGAGACCCCGGATGCGTGTGAACTCTGGGCATCGGGGAGAGGCCGCAGCTGTGGGTTTGAGTTGTGGGCGAGGGAGGAGGAGACAGGCCCCAGCCTGTGCGTGTACTTGGCAGGGTGGCTCTGGAAGAGGGCAGAGAACAGAAAGGGCTGGGCCTAGCACACAGGACAGGGTGTTGGCCAAGTGGCCATGCAATAGCCACAGGAGTCAGGGAATACAGGACTCAGATTGACAACGTCCCTTGCTGCTTCCCCTTCCCCTCCTGAGCAGGGCCTCAGCGCAGCACAGTGGGGTCCCAGGGCACAGGCTGCCCCCCGGCTGACAGCCTGGCAGGTGGAGAGTCCGGCAATGAACCGCTTTTCCTCCTGCTCCGGTGTCACTGTGCGAAAGGAGGCAGGAGTGCGCATGAACTGCTGAGTGTGCAGCCGCTCCAAAGGAGCAGGCCCCCAAGCAGCCCCTCGCTGCACCTGTGCTTAAGGCCCAGCCTGACCCCAAAGACAACGGTCAATGAAGGACCACATCTGCTTTGGGCTCATTGCTTCTGGCCGTGGTGCATACAGGAATGTAACCCTCACCCCGATCTGCTCCTGCCAACATCCCCCAGCCCAGCTGGAGGGGCGAGGGCCACTCACGCCAGGAACCAGAGAACATGACCCTAGGGCTTGGAGAATCCTGCTACAGCCGGACATCACGACCCCTCTGCTGATTTTTCATGATTGTTACATTTCCTGCCAACTACAGCCCAGCCGGTCAGACCAGGCCTGGACCAGCTGGGCCTGGCTGGCTGGGGAACGGGACAGAAGGCTGGGAGAGGGCTACCAGGCAGACGGCAGCAGAGGTGAGCTGTGCCCACTAGCCATGGTGTTAGAATGCTGGTCAGAAAGCAGCTAACGCTTTGGAGAGATTTACTTCTGACTGGCACCTGCAGCCAATCTTTTGTTTGGAAGGAGACCAA